GGTTCCTTAGACGATACATTCAGGAACGTTGTGTGTGTCGTTGTAATGAATAATAAGCCTTAGTATGTAATTAACCTGTAATTAACCTGAAATTTTGGGGTTAACCCTTAAATATCTCAGACTTATAACATACTAAGGCCTATTATTTAGTAACTACAGGGACTTCAGTGGAAACTGGCTGAGCAAAACTATGTAACTCCATTTTTGTTTTGTTTTTAATTTTTATTTTTATGTGATTTAAAAAAACACATACACACATATTTACATATATATATATATATATATATATATATATATATATATATATACACACATAGCTTTTGACACAGTTTGAAAATGCCTGCTGCCCTTTACATTGTGTGAAAATTTCATGCTGAATGGAGCAAAAGAAATGGTCCAAAATTATTTGGAAACAATTCTGGTTCCATTGACTTACATTAAAAGTAAAGTATATTTTTGCTTCTTCTGTAAAGTTACCATTCTGGAGATATGAGATTTTGTTCCAACAGCAGCGATATATACAGGGAGATTCACTCGAAAGAGGCCCCGAATATTCTGTAATAACTCCTGTTAGGATGAAGCAATCTGAGCCAAAAACATACGCTACCTACCTTGACGTATGTGTAATTGATTGCATTACATGCGATGCTGTAAGTGATCTCTGTTTTCTGCCAGACACATGAAGGCGTACGGGGGTATGCGTCCGGACGTTGCACCCGGAGGTTAAAAGTCGCGACGGCTCTCTGGCGCCTACTTCAACACTCTGACGCAGGGGCATCCCGGCTTATTCAAAGCTCCATATACTGAGGAGCTCATTGCACATTGGTTCGTTCAGATTGCTTCATCCTAGCAAGAGTTATTACAGAATATTCGGGGCCTCTTTCGAGTGAATCTCCCATATATATATATATATATATATATATATATATATATATATATATGTGTGTAATCACTGTTATTATCACATAAAGGTATATACATATGTAACACCTAAGGGACACAGTACAGATGACCTCATGTTCTGAAATTGTATTAAAACACGTGGGTAAGTGTGTGTATGTGTGGACTTAGCATGCATGAGTGAACACATTAGGAAGTGTGGGTCAGTTTACATGAATAAAGGGCAAAGTGTGTGTGTGTGTGTGTGTGTGTGTGTGTGTGTGTGTGTGCGTGTGTGTTATGCCGCTGTGTCAAACATACTGGGGTGTGTGTGTGTTTAAACATGCAAATGTATGAGTGTGTGTGTGCTCTGTGTGAGCATGCTGGGAGAAGGTGTTTCTCTCCAGGCCGCTGCGCTGTCTTCACACACACTGCTCAGTGATGAATATTTGATAAGGACACTGAACATGAGCCTCCACACCTCCCACACAAGAGTCCCGACATGTACGAGGGGGCGATATGATGAACAGGGCTGCCACTATTGATTACTTTACTAATCAGTTACTCTGTGGAGTATTTTAATGTTTAATTAAGTAGTCAAAGTTTTGAAAATGAGGCTTAACAATACAAATGAATTTAACTATTACTGACCATGCAGAGCCTTTAAAAGACTCCAAAATAATTGACAGAGATAAGTTAGTAGATATTTCTTGAACATACTCAGAAAAAAGGTACTAAACTCTTATTTATTTATTTATACCAACACTCTCACTGGGGTGGCGCCCTCAACACTACATCTTCAGAAACGTTTTAGTTTAGTTATTTTTCTTTAAAAGAAGTTATGAAAAAGAACATATATGCACCTTCTCCCAGAAAAAAGTGAATAGTGTACATTAAACACTCATTTAAGATATACAGTTGGGCCTTAAGAGCCATGTTGTACCTTTGATAGTATATTGTTGGGGAGGGGGAGTCAAGTACCTGTGCAGTTTCCTTTTTTCTGATAGTGTAATAGAGAGAGTTGGTTGTTGTTCAAGGTCAATTTTATGTTTTTATTACAACATTTAATTCTGTTTAATTGTGCAATAATGACAGCCCTAATAGCAAAGCATCATTATTCATATTATACAGTGCTAACCCTAACACTACAATATACATTCACTACACGTTTATTTTCAAGAAGTGTAATTGTGATTATAAGGAGTTCATTTGTAGTCAATTAATTTATGTACAAAGAGTTCCTGTATGACTGAATGCTGTACAGGTCAAATGATAATTTCCATATATTTCTGTAGAAATGTATAGGAATAGTATTAATAGATCCTTAAAAACTTAATGTTTTTTAATATTGTACAACTTTTATATACCAACACTAAATACTATTTGGAGTGTCAGGTCTATAAAGAAAGCCCAAATTGATCTGCATTTGATTATAAGGCCTTGCGAAGAATGCTTTAGGAAGTTGATTGCTTATGTGTGCAAACATCCAGCAGTGGGAGCTCTCGCTGGTTTCACCTGTTGATAAAACTGCAAAAGGTGAAACACTGTGCTTTAGTTTTACTTCTTTTATTATTTTATAACAAAACAGACTAAAAACAACTAATATTTTAGATTGCGAACAAAAAACATCTAAAGAAATTCTGTGATTAAAGCCTTCTGTGACTAGACGCTAGAAGACTACGCTGCTCCTTCGGCACAAACCAGCTCACCTGTGATCAGATCTGTGCTGTGTGTGTGCATATTGTGGGACCACCAGACCTTACAGAACACTGATCAATTGCTTTTTTCAAGCAACAAGAGGTTTAGAAGAGGCTCCCAGGAGGCTTAGCTTAAACAAGGCCAGGGTTTCACTCTATGGATAGGAAGTAACTGGGCCTGATTAACTGGATGTAGTGTTGCAAAGCTTGTGAAACAGTGAATAAAAAAAATAAATCATTGTGCTCATAGAATTTTATCAGTAGTGTAAATTTGAGCGCAATATTTTAAAAGCCTGATTTGCAGTTTATTACAAAATTATTATCAATAGCATCAGTAATATATGCACTAACGATAAAACTAAAAAATAACAATACTATTACAAATAACTGGACACAACAACGCTTGGACTAAACTGAATGGACGTATCTTTATGTGCACAGTGATATAAAGAAATGCTGTGCCTATACGTTCTATTTAAAGACTTTTGCTTTATACTGCTATACTGCAAAGCAAAGCTTACCCAGTGCAGGAGAAGCTCATATAATGCAATATTATTGCTTAAGCAGCCGACTTTCACAGTCAGATCACTGTACAATCTCAAAAAAAATAAAGCTACATTTCTTTTTTTTCTTTTCTTTTAAACACTATAAAGCTTTCCCAAGATTTCCCATCTAGCCAGTAGGGGGGGCAGTGCACATCCTGCACGACCCCAGACTCCACTCACAAATACTTTTTGAAACAGATGTGTGAATTAGGGTGTGCTTCATGTAAATTATATGTATATGAGGACAAATTGAGGGGTACGTGTCTTTTGAGGGGTGTGTGTCTTTTGCAAATGATATGTAAATAAGGGACTCACACTCACCGCTTGTTTTGTTGTCGTACGACGGTTTCCTGAATCAGATGCGGAGTAGTTCATAGGGCATTCGGGATGATCAAATCACTCGTTTCTAAGCAACTGAATAAAGGCCATTGTGATTATATTGTGACTGTGGTAAGCTTTACAACATATAAACACATTATTGAACCTTTGATGCGATGTGGTTAAAGAAACCCATCTGGAGTGTCCAGGGTTGGTCAGCTTGCACACTTTTTTGTGATTTGTTGGAGAGCTTTTTTGCATGTTACGGCCTTCTGTGATCTCAGTATTACAAAGAGCAGTACTGTGATATTACAGTAGTACATATATTAGTGGTATTACAATGTACAATGGTACATTGCAGCTCTAGTCTGGATCAGTGATTGTCAAAAGTGTATTTTCTTTGTTCTCACAGATTCAACTCGTTTGTTGTTAAAGCCGTTTGTGAGTAATGTTTGAGAAGCACTGGTGTTGAGCTATACTCTCATATCATTTAAAACAAATTCAGAGTAAAATGTGCTGCTGGGAGCACTGAGTGTCCAGTGAAGACACTCTATAATATATTGAATTGACTTAATTGCATTATGTGGTAAGACTTTATTTGCAGTGGTCCTTTGTAGCTGATTAATAAACTCTTAACAGATTATCAGTAACACATCAATAGCATATCAGTGAAGTAGCAGTAGAGAAGCATCTGAATACATTGAAGTAAATATCTTGAAGATGTGCTGTTGAGACTTTACTTACATTAAGTAGATGTGTTGTTAATATGTTACTTCCATTACACAACACCTAACTTTACCAACCTTACCCAACACCTAACCCTCACCCTGGCCCTAATCCTTACTGTAATATTAACCTCAACCCAAAACCTAACCCTAGCCCTGGGCCTAATCCTAACCCTAACCTTAACCTCAACCCAAATCCTAATCCTAACCCTCAGATCACTGCTGTCAGGACAAAACCTCGTATCTCCAAACCGGTAACTTTACAGGAGAAGGAAAAAACGCACTTTACTTTTAATGTAAGTCAATGGAACCAGACTTTTTTCCAAGCAATTCTGGGCCGTTTCTTTTGGTCCATTCATGTTGAAATTTACATACAATATACAGGACAGTAGGTTTTTTAAAGTATGTCAAAAACTAAAAAACAACAAAAATGGAGATACAGAGTTTTGGTCCGACAGCAGCGCGATGTTTTCGACATGTTACTCAAAGTCTGTTGAATGTTTGTTTCATCTAAAAAGGACCACTCAAAATAAAGTGTCACCCAATATGTACTTAATTTCCACATTAATAAAATGCAATCGGCAGTTTTGTCTGTCAGCTTACATACTCTGGCAACATTTGTGTTTTGGAATATATTTTATTAATGTTCCTTTTCAGTACATATTAAGGGGTTTCAGTGCCATGAAAAAAGCCCTGGCCTTTGGTACCTTATCATCTGTAGTTATGATACAATAAAAACGGTACTGTGGGAATGCATTTTTAACTTGAGAGAAATATTGTATATATATATTGAAAATTGCTTGGAAATGATATATTAATTCTTTGTCTTTCATCAGTTCTGATCCTGGAACCGGTGGAAAGGGACGATCTGAGTGGAAAGACCCTAAAGATCACGGACTTTGGGCTGGCGCGGGAGTGGCATCGCACCACTAAGATGAGTGCAGCGGGCACTTACGCTTGGATGGCTCCGGAGGTCATTAAACTGTCCCTCTTCTCTAAGAGCAGTGATGTCTGGAGGTAAGAGAGCTTTAGGAGGCCTGGTTTCGAGCTGTTTACAGATTTGGTCCTGGAAAACCACAGCAACAGTGGAGTCGATTAGTTGTCATAGAATAAAACGTGGTTGTCACCATGGCATTTACTTAGAGAAAGTGCTCTATAACGTCAGTTTCAGTGAGAACAATACAGTTTGGTTGATTTTCCTGCTCAAGACAAGCTTGTTTCATCTCAGGTCAGTTAATTGCCAGGTTTAGTTGACAGGTTTAGTGCTAAAACGGAACAATTAAGCTGTACTGAATTGATGATCTCTGCTCTAATATATTCATATGATACCTACAGTCATTCTGACAGATTGCAGTACACTACAAGATGTATAGAGGGCGATATGACTTCTGTCGTTTAATTTCTCCATAAAAGAAGTTGCTTGCAGCACAGACAGAACTTTGAATGATGATGGAAAGAAAGCAACAAAAGGCATAACAGTTAGCTTAATCAAATACTCAAATAATAGTCAGCAGGTTCATTGTTTAAAGAAACAATGAGGTAATGGAGGGACACAACACTACAGAGTTTGCCGTTGATCCTGCTCTAATCCATTGTTTCTGAGCCTAGTTCTCAGAGTCTAGCGCATGCTTCATATTTTTGCTCTTTCCTAGCTCTCTGCACAACCAGGCCATTAACCTCTTGAAGAATGGAAGTTGGCTCAGATATTATGAATTTATGTAAACAAATAAAATATATGTTATTATCAGAGTAAATAGGACACTTGTCTTTCTGTGTGTTAAATATGGTCTCTGTGTTGAGCTGCTAGCGAGCAATGAGGGGTGAAAGAGGAGAAGTGAGACCCCCCTACTGTGAAACAACATCACACCTCTCCACAAAGGCAGCCATGCTGTACGACAGCGTTTAAGGGCCACTTGTAAAAAAAATAAAACCAATAGACTTCAAGAATAAAGTCGTAATATTTCGAGAATAAAGTCACAATATTTTGATAATAAAGTCATAAAGTTACAAGAATAAACGATATTTTGAGATAAAGTAGACTAATTGTAGGGGGGCTGCCATAATGCATTGGGAGGAGGTGCTACCTTCCTTTTGCAACCCTTTGCCTACAATATTGCGGCTTTTCCTGGTAACATCCCACTTTAATGTCGTAATTCTATGACTTTTTTTATAGAAATATTATGACTTTATTCTCAAAATGTCACACCGTATCACTTTTTATCTCAAATTTTCCGACTTTATTCTGGAAATATTATGACTTTATTCTCAAAATGTCATACTGTACGACGTTTTATCTCAAAATATTATGGCTTTATTCTCGAGGCCCTAAAACACCATCGTAATGGCGAGACAAAATGAACAACACTTCTGCAACTGTAGCTTTCTTCATATCAAAAAATCGTGTACAACTGCAGGAATAAATAGCATTTAAACACAATAAACACACATTTATAAATGTTGGCTTGCTCACCTACAGAGACAAAAATGTAGCTCAGTTGGTTTTGTAAATTATGCACATTTTCATCTGTATATATATTTTATCAATGGTGCTGAAAAAGAAGAAGTTCAACTGAGGAACTTCCTTCAGAAAAGGCACAAATTGCATTTTCCATTTATTTTTCAAAATTTCCATATACTTGAATGGTTAAGATGTAAACAGAGTCATTCAGAGTGTTTTGGTGTGAAATGCTCTGTTATAGAGAAACTTACAGAGTCAGAATTGTTGCTTTTGTCATTTTTGATGTCAGCAAGTGACAAGTGAAGCTTGTTGAATTATCTATATTGGCAATTCTGTCTAATTAGTTGAATGATTTTTCAAAATTTCTGTATAATTAAATGGTTAAGATGTAAACAGAATCATTCAGAGTGGTTTGGTGTGAAATGCTCTGTTCTAGAGAAAGTTACAGAGTCAGAATTGCTCACACTGGTGATGATAGGAACCAGACGTCTGAAGTTTTATCCCTCTAAAAGCCTCATTACATGAAGTTGCCTCAGTTGATCCCTGAGATATGTTTTACGATTGGTTTGAGATAAACCTTTGGCCTAAAACACATTTTTAAAGCTATTCACGGTAAAGGGTGCATGTAGGATGCTGTAAGGCCAAATCATTTGTAAAAGAAAACTTTTTTTTAGATTTAGCTCTGTTTTACCATCAGCAGCATTACATAAAAACTCAGAAGACGTGTAAGTTCACTGATCAATTTGGATCGTGAAGAAAAATGGCTATTTGCATTCTAGATATCACGACTCCTGGTTCCTATCACCACCACTGTAAAGAAAACCCAAGTTGGTAAATTTCTCTACAATTAACCATTTCACAGAAAACCACTCTGAGTGACTCTGTTTACACCTTGCTGTTTTAATTATGCAGAAATGTTTGACAATTTGGTGGAATTGCCCTTTAAGGACACTGAACAGCTGGTGCAGGTGTACTGTGAGCAAAGTTAGAGCAAAAATAAGGGCCATCTGATGGACCCAAGGGCCGGATGAAGAAACACTGCCTAGACACATCCAGTTGAGCTCATGAAGGGGCTACTAATTAGCTGTTGAATTTAATCAGATACATTAAAATAAGGCAAACATTAAACCCTGCGTAAAGGAAAGTACTTGTCACAGCCTTTTTTACCGATTTTGTTGTTTCTGGTCATCAGTTTTGGGGTGCTGCTGTGGGAGCTGCTGACTGGTGAGGTTCCCTATCGGGAGATCGATGCCCTGGCGGTGGCCTATGGAGTGGCCATGAACAAACTGACCCTACCTATACCCTCTACCTGCCCTGAGGCCTTCGCTCAGCTGCTGGGGGGTAAGATGACCACACACAGGATCACAGCTACGTGAAACTTTCACATCATCAGTACATCGTTCTTTTCTTGGTCCTCATCTCCTCTTTCTCATTGTCCAACCTGTTTTGGTTACTGAATAGCAGCCTTCTTAAGGCCACATCACACATACATAAGCCATGACAACTGACATAAACCTACATAAGCATTTATAAAGGCTTATTCCAACAAGGGTCAGTTGTCATAAAGGCTGCTTTTGTAAATTTATGACATCAGCAAGTGACAAGTGATGCTTGTTGGATTACCTATATGGGCCTTTTACCTAATTAGTTGAAACTGTGGTCTCACAGTAAAAAAAACATAAAAAAATAAGTATTCAGACCTCGGATATTTACAAGGATCATGTTATGATCTATTTAAGGTATTAGTAATTGGCTAAATATATACAAAATCATAATTCATAGTGTGCTTTCCATTGAATATCGTCAATAAATTATCGATGTTCATCTTAAATATTCCTCTTTGCCGTTTTGTTAGCTACTAACCAGGCGAGATTGTTATCTTGTTCGTTGTTCTAGTGACCAGCAGTCTGCAAACCAACCTTCAGGTTTAAAGGGTGAATTAGCAGTTCTACATTAACTCCATAGTTTAAGACCATTTATTGTTAAACTGTGTTGAACGATCAGCAGAGCTTTATTTTACTGTAAAGGAGGATTATTTTATTTTTACATATAAATCTAATTCTGCTGTGGAGCCACAACAGGACAGTAAAAGAGCCGCATGTTGCCGACCGCTGTCCTAACCACTAAATTTACACTTGTGAAAATAATACTTGTATTTTTAAAAATCTTTTGTTTTTAACATCTTTTTGTTTTCTTTTAAAGTGAAAATGGAAGATTTAGATTTATCATGAGGGTAATTTTTACAAAAAAAATACTTAAAATATGCTGTCCTAAAGAGTTTTAGTCCATGGGCAGAGCCTTATTTTAGCCACACTCTTGCATTTTAGAGCAGGAAGTGAGACTGCATCCCTGTCCCTCATGGCTACATGGTGAGCAGTTAGATCCCACTGAAGTAAATGTGTCCCAAAGTCTGAAAATGAATATTTTGTGCAATTCAGGAAACTTTTTGTGTTAGTAAACATTATGATTTTACTGTTTAACTGTTCAAAGCTGTGTCTGCATTTTTTTCTGCTCAAAATGAGCAAAAATTGAAACTCTACTGAAACAGTCACTACTGAAACATTTGGTAAAGTTTCGGTAGTGTTATGATTGCTTTGCTAGTGACAAAATGGAATATTCAATTATTTATTTTAATAAAATAAACATAATTAAGGTATAGGGTCACTCAAAGCAAAAGGATTTTAGTTTAAAGTCAGTTCAAAGTCTGAAATGTGTTTTGAACTTTGACTTTGAACCCATTCAGTAAAATGGCTCATCCCATTGCCACTCTGAACCGAGGGCTGCACAGTATATCATTAGTTAATCATTGCTGTGATATTGGCTTTGCAATACTGAGATCTCAGAAGGCTGCAATATGTAAATGAGCTCTCTAACAAATGACATATTTCTTTATTGTGTGCTGTGGACATTCTGACCAAACTCAGGCCAGTCTCATATCAACGGTTCACCAATATGCTTTTAATGTGTCTTGTGTCTTGTCTTGTCCATAACATGCAGCTGAACAGTACTCTGAACTCTCTCTCTCTCTCTCTTTCTGCCTCAAGAGTGTTGGAGCCCAAACCCACACAGCCGTCCTTCCTTCAGCAGCATCCTGAAGCGTCTGCAGGCCATCGAGCAGTCGTCCATGTTCCAGATGCCCCTGGAGTCCTTCCACTCTCTACAGGAGGACTGGAGGCTGGAGATCCAGCAGATGTTTGATGAGCTGAGAGCGAAGGAGAAGGTACGAGCATTGCTGCTGCTCCTCTCTGTCAGAAATGTAGCACAGTCGCACGTCAGATGAAAGGCTCTGCAGATACTTGCCAAGTAGGCCACATATTGTATAAGGGGATTTCTTATTCGTAGACTGTTAGAGTTTTTTCTGTTGCTTTCATAATGTCAGCTTTAATGTTAGTCCTGGAAACACTAGATGTATAATTTTATTTTAAGTTTTCAAATTTTCTGCCAAATTCAGTAAAAGTAAACAAAGTCTTACAGAGGTGAAATACTTCACTGTAGAGAAACTTGACAACTTGGATTTTATTTACAGCAGCGGTGATGGAGACCAGGGGGCAAAATATCTACAACACAGCCATTTTATTTACTATCCAAAACCACCAGTGACCCTACACATGTCTTTTTATTATTATTATTAAGCGACCCTTATTAGTCCCACAACGGGGGAAATTCCACCTCTGCACTTGACCCATCCGTGCAGTGAAACACCACATACACACTAGTAAGTGCACAAACACTAGGGGGCAGTGAGCATACTTGCCCAGAGTGGTGGGGGTTAGGTGCCTTGCTCAAGCTCTTGAGTCATGTACTGTCAACTCAGGGGATTGAACCAGCAACCTTCTGGTCACAAGGCTGGTTCCCTAACCTCCAGCCCATGACCGCCCTCGGGAGAAGGGTGTGGAGAAGGGTGTGACTGCGGAGCCGCAGATTTATGAGTTTTAATACAGTGGAGTCCAAAGGTGTGAGACCACACTGAAAACAAAGAAAAGACTTGACATTTAAAATGAAATTCTCAAATTTCTTCACTGTTTTCTAGGTCTTTATTTGTGAAATTGACTATGTTAAGGCATTTGTTAAAAAATAAAAGATTTTTTTTTTGTCATGTCTCTTCCGTTGAAACACATTCAGAAGATTATCAGGCGAATGTGTTTGACTGATTAGAGGTTTTGCACATATTTATGGAGTTCATGCCAGCTTAAGCACACTTATTCATTAAAGCAAAAAGGGGGACATACCAAAAACTAAGAAATTCTAAAATTCACGTAAACCTTAAACTATTCTGTTTTCATCAAATTGCTAGATGATAATATCATTTGTGTTGATAGATTTTGAACTAAATTAGAATGGAGTGCAAAATCGAAGCATTTCAGGAGCATTTTCACCGTTTTCTCAGACTTACAGAGCCGACTGTATGTAACGGTAAAATGGTCGAATGTTAATGATAAAATAGTGGTAGATCTGAAAAATACAATTGTTTAGTTTTCTTCAGTTTTCTTCATGTTCTGTGCGTAACTCCACACTGAATACATTTTTAAAAATATATTTTAGGCCAAAACCTTTTTTTATAAAAATTGTCACAGAGCAATGTCTCTGGCATCAGGCAATGTACTCATAACCACTTCGTGTGACAGCTGTGACAGCTTTTAGAGACATTCCAGAGAAAGTGTTAGACGTCTGGTTCCTGTCACCACTGTAGTGAACAATAATGACAAATTCACATCAAACCAGTCTAAATGGCTTTGTTTACAACTTAACCTGTAGTCACGCAGTCCAAAGTTTGAAAAAGTGGTGGAATTACCCTTTAAGAGTTATTCAGTAACTACCGTGAATTATTTAGTAACTAGAAATCAACTTATAAGTTATTTCTGTAGTTATGAGAGTGAGGAAAAACTGTGGCTCCTTTAAGGAGTTTAAGAAGGCATCCAATGAATGAGCATGTTATGACTCAGTGGGGATTAGCAGTAAAAAACAATTGCGTTTAATAAAGTCTGATTCATTAACCCAGTTAAAGTCCTGCGTCTGATTAGAGCCTTCAATTCCCTGCTAACACATCAAATCACGTTCATTTCCCGAATCTCACATTACTCTCCTTTGCTTACTTTCATTGTGTATAGTCCGTTAGTACTTCAGCTGCTGTTACACTCAGCACTGTTTAAATAACCGCTCCCTGTTCTCCTCCCTCAGGAGCTGCGTTCTTGGGAGGAGGCGCTGGCTCGGGCTGCGGAGGAGCAGAGGGAGCAGGAGGAGCTGCTGAGGAGGCGCGAGCAGGAGCTGGCGGAGAGAGAGATCGACATTGTGGAGAGAGAACTGAACATCATCATCCATCAGATGTACCAGGAGAAGCCACACGTCAAAAAACGCAAAGGGCACTTCAAAAAGAGCCGGCTTCTCAAACTGGGCCGGGACAGCAACTGTATCAGCCTGCCCTCTGGTGGGTCAGAAGAAAAATGCACCTGCACTTAAAATAGAAGTTTTAGAATCAAGGTTGAATTTGTTATTCTTTTTTTCTTTTCATTTGTGACATATATGAGGGTCAATAGACATTCATCTTTTTTTGTAAGCAGTTACAGTTCATCTCTGTCCTGAGAAAACTTTATAACTCCCTTTGTTTACACCTTTTAACAGTGCCAGCTCCCCTTTACGTTGTCTGAGCATTTTAATGAGGAGTGGACTAGTAGACATTTCTAGTAGAACATCTTTTAAACTTTCATTAACACTTCACTGCGTGATGTTGCCATATGGCAACGAGTATTTCTGTTTATTTTTTGGCAACTGAAACCAAAGGCTTTATATTTAAAACAATATAATTTTTTTCTGATCATGCACTATGTTTTGCAGTCCAAATTTTTTTCACATCATGGTGAGCCTTATAAAGCACACTTAATGTGTGTATATTTCACTTCAGAGGAAAAAACTAAAACATGATTTGTGGGAAGTTACTATTAATTTTCTTTTATTAATTAAACCAGTTTAGATGCTATTGGCTTTATGTAAAATAATATTGCAGCTGTCCAAAGAAAAACAAGCATCTCCAAAATAGTAACTTTACAAGAGAGAGCAAAAACACTCTTTACTTTCGGTGTAAGTTGTGAAGAGATTTTATTCCAAGCATTTTTGGGGCATTTCTATTGGTCCAAGCTTCATGACATTTTCACCCAATGTAAACGGCAGCTGCGGCGTTGCCATATGGCAACAGCATGCAATAATATAATTGCAATCTACAGTGGAGAGGGAATGACTACATTACCACTGTGAACATCATTTCTTACAGTCCAAGCTGATTTTTAGTTAATAATTATAATTATAATGAAGCATGTGACTCCTATTGTACAAAGTTTGCAGTTCTATAATTGTATGCTGTTGCCATGTGGCAACAAAATGCAACACACCCCTCAAAATATTGTTTTATATCTTTCTTTTAATTATGTCATTTTAAATAAGAACAATCATGAAAACATTTTTATGTATATTTTATAATTCATGCAGTAACAGTTAATTGGCAAAGAATATTCATTCTGTACATTTGCCGAGAGGTTTTTATGTGTCAGTGATGAATTGCAAGCACAAATGATCAAGGTCTGTTTCAGGGCTTACAGATATTCTTATAGTTGTGTGTTTGTCCAGGAGTGACCGAGCTGTTTTTCTTGTGCAGATTTTGAGCATAAGATCACAGTGCAGGCCTCTCCCAGTGTGGATAAGAGGAAAACTCAGGGCAGTGAGAGCACCACTCCTCCGGCCAGTCCCGGGGTCATCCCCCGCCTCAGGGCCATTCGCTGTGAGTACATATATTAGAGCAGCAGTCCAGCTTTAGAAGTCTACATTTGTGTTCTATTTCCAGCTTAAAGTATACCTGAGCTCAAATGCTGATTACCTGCCTTGTGCTGGACGTTCACAACACAATTAGTTTTAACCATTTGCCTCTTCACAATTCACACAATTGGAACCGATTAATGGCACTGATGATCTGTTGGTGTGAGAGCCTTTCATCTCTAGCCTTCCAGTCTAGCAGCGTAGTGGTCAGAGGCCTTCAAACATGAATTTTACGACTCAAAACGTTCATGAATTCTGTTGTGTGAGATGGTCAGTGTGGTTCAGGCACTAGTCAGTGAAAAAGGTGTAGGGACTTGTATGGGCAGTGAGAGAGGTGCTGCATGCTGAATACTGGCAAGTGCACAAATGCCTCTGTACTATCACTGTTAGAAATAAAGGTTCTGTGCAGGTACATTTTTCGCTCATCAAGGTACAAACTATGTAAATGTTCCTTCAAAGGAACAACAGTGGTTTTAAGGTCCGACTGTGAACCTTAAATAAGTTTTTCCAGGTGAAAAGTTCGTATTTGAACATTTTCATAACCGAATGCTTTAAAACAGAACAGTAAAATAAAAGCCTGGAGACGAGACGGGGTGTGTGGAGTCAGTACAGCTTAGAAAATATAATTTCAGTGGATTATGGTACAGTTATGTTCCCTGACTGAAGGTACTGAGATGTACCCTTGAGGGACCACCCCAGTGACAAGAGACAGTGACAGTTTAGTACCTTTATCTCTGGGAGTGTACGGGGTGGGTGATATGGCAGAAATATAATATCACAATACCTCAGGAGATGATGTCAGTGCATGATATGTTTCTGTTAAGTTGGAACAAATGAAACGTTTTAAATTTAAATTCAATTAAAAAAAACTAGTACAAATTATTTTTTATGTAACTTTCTGATTTAAAGTTAAATTATGTCAATTAATATCAAATAAAGAGGCCTATGCACTTTTATTAATGGAACATGCAGCTGTCCAGTGTTGTCCAGAAACGCATATTGTGAAATAAGTTTGCACAGTTTGCATCTTCTCTACTCTTTTTATGTTCATAAAAGCACAAACAAGTCTGTTTTAGTTATAGTTGCATTTGTGTCACAGGAAAATGGTGCGATTGGGATTTTTACATTGCTGAAACTCGATATGTGTGTTATACCCTCTCTTTGCCTCATTAAAAATGGGTAAAAGACTGATGTTAAGAATAAGATGCTCTCTGTTTTCAAAATCTGCTATGTTTATGTATTGTGTGCCAATTTTAGGTGTGTTCAAAACTAAAACAGAGCCAAAATGTGGACTAGCCTGGGATTTCTGAGGTCTAGATTGAAAATCTCAGTCCTGTAGTTGGTGTCATGGCCATAGAAGGACTATTAGGTGGTTTTTGTTTGTGAGAAAAATGTTTTTTGAAAAAATCACTGCTGTTACACTTTGCAGTGAACAAAAGTCTTCAAGTATGTTTTGCCAGCTGAACATTTTCCCCTCAAAGTTACTGGTTCCTCTGAATTGCGAGGTCATTAAAGAGTCAAATAATGAATGTTGCTGCATGCAAGCCAACACTGCTGTGTATGGAAATGACATTAAGACTGGCAACCTCACCAGAACACCCCCCACACACCAGCAAGGTTTGTTAAATCTGGTAGTTAAATTGCTTTCCCAGTTTGAGTAGCTGGTCTTGGTATATAACAATGTTGGGGTTTAATAGTAGACTTAACTTTCATGTGCCATCATTTCTATGAGCACTGGTGTTAGCCTTGCAGAATGGATGCAGCAATATTCATAATTCAACTAATTAACAGCCTAATAATTCAGAAAATGTAGTAATATTTTGGATGTAGAAAAAATGTATTAGCTTTGAAACATTCTTGCTTACCACACGATATGACAGCATTCATTTTTCTCATAGGGAAAAACTGCCATGACTCAGAGTTCCTAATATGGGCATGACATCATCTACAGAGTGACTTATGACTTCAGAAGTCTATGGATCCTGTAGTCTACAGCCCATGCGTCACACTCGGGGCCCTGCGGGCCAAGTAAGACCCTGTGGCACCACCCATTTCGGCCCATGAAATGATTTAATTTTCTGTTATTATCAGCCTGTTTTACCCTGAGCTGCACTACAGTCCCCAGCATGCACTACAACATAATGTGCGTTTTAACCACCTTTCTCCAGCAACAATCTATGGGCGGCTACACAAAAAGAAAAGATGCCTGGTGTCTGGTTCAAGCAAATAGGCAGTTTTGAAAAACCTTCCTCCTGGGGACATTTAAAGGGGTTTAGCAATAATCTGTAACTGATGTCGCTTATTGTTTTATAGAAAACAATTTATTTTTATTTAAATTTTTTTTTGAATAGTTCAAGTGTTCAGTGCTTATTTAACTGCTGTAGTTTTGGCATATTTTGAATAAACAATAGGGCAGTTGGGGTCATGGCAAAATATTAAGTAGAAATGAAAGAAAAACACTGCTGACCCACAGATTTTTTGAGATTTTTTAATATGGCAATTTTTTTTAGTGGTTGAGTTTGGTTTACACATTTAAACTCTCTCTTTTCTGACACAACCCATGAAGAGTTTGTCATTTAGCCAGTGAGTGAAATCAGGGGTTCAGTTAGGGAAAATCTGTGCAGCATGAGGTCTGATTATTTAAAGATGTACCATGATCTTGTTTAAAAAGAGCAAATGGAAGTACAGCTGCAAACCTCCTTAAACCAGAACATCTTGCTCCAGTCATGAAATGTGGATTAACACATTGCTCTTTTGTCTTGCAGTGACCCCCAGTGATGGCAGGAACACGTGGGGGCGTACGGCTGTGTGTAAGAAGGAAGACCTGGCGGGGACCAAAAAGAAGGGGCGTACTTGGGGTCCCAGCTCCACCCACCAAAGAGAGCGTGTGGGGGGAGAGGACAGGTAAACATAGCACCACACATATGTACATAATGGCAGATGAGTTTTGAATTCGCTTTGAGGCAACACGTTTCTGGACCTCCATGGCTGCGATTTGACCACTTCTGCTGTATTTGTGCAGGTTGAAGTCACTTGGGGAGGGGAAGGTGTGGTCCTCCAGCGCCCCTAATCTGGGAAAGTCTCCAAAACATGTCCCTATAACCGCCGGCTTCTCCAGTCTCAGTGAGATGGGTGAGTTTCCATTTCATAAGCCAGGAACCTGCATTCTTGAGCCCTTGATGACCTCTCTTAGGTATATTTGATGATATACAAGCATGAACGGCTGATTCGCTGTCATCAGGAACTGCATGGAAAACGTCTGTTTTAAAGAATGACACTGTTAATAAAGCAATAAATGAAAAATCGAATTTGCCCAATTCTTAAAAATTTGATTTTGAGGATAACAGGATGTCAGACAGTGTCAGAAAGCACTTAAATAAGTCTGTTTGAAAGTACTCAACAACTTGACCTTGTTTAGCTTCCAAGTGTACAACTGAAAAAAGCAAACTGTAAATGTAATTTTTCACCTATTCCTTTAACACGTCAAACCTCTGTTTTCCTGTACTGAGTTATATAAACTGGTTGTGTGAAAATAATAATACTTCTCTCATCTGTCTTTTCCTGTGTTTGTTTGCCTGTAGAGGAGCACTGTGAGTTTGAGGAGCGCTTGGCTCCGGAGGGCAGCAGCAACGGGGCGACAGAGGAAAGCAGCCACACGTGGGTGGGCGTAGGGCCGGGCGTCGGCTCCCAGGATTCTTCGCGGCGCTGCAGTCAGAGGAAGAAGAGTGACCTGCTGCTGCTGGGCTGCGCCTCCATCCTGGCCTCTGTCGGCCTTGGCGCAGACCTCCTCCAGCTGGGACGCCTGCAGGTACAGGAGGAGTAGCCTCACTTTTCACAAGCTTCAAAATTCAATAAGCAAATATGCATTTTCAGTGCACCTGCTGTCAGTTTAGAAATCATATTGCCAGCACAGATGTCTGAAGTTTTAGACTAATTTCTAGTCAAAACAGCCATTAAGTATTTCATTTTTCAGCATCAGGAAAAAAACAGATCCTAAATTTTACAGAAAATTACACAAAAGCCTCAACGACTAAATATAATACAAACATTTTTCAGTATTTTGTGTGTCCATCGTTTGCCTTTAGTACAGTTTCTGTTCTTTTCAGGAGACTTTCTTTAAATTTTAAAAACAAAGAAATCTGCAGGGGTATTTATCCACACCTCCAAAGTTCAGTCTTAGAAGTTGGTTATATTTTCTGCTTCTCATGATGTGAGTAGTACCAACATTCAGTGATGCTGAGGTCTGGACTCTGGTGGTGGTCAGTCCATTGTTTTGAGAACACCAGCAGCTCCTTTGTTTGATAAGTACGTCTTGATCCTGAATGCGTTTCCTCCTTTTTTCCTGACACTGAAAAGTTATTAGTAAAAATTAATATTTAAAAAAAATTAAAAATCAATATGTTATAATATTAAAATACATTATTTTATAAAATAGAAAATAATATTTTAAAAAAAAATGTTTAATTTATAGCTTGTACTTATTGGCTTATTGTTTTGACTGGAAATTATTAAATAAACAAAAGGATGGACTGAATTTTTTCACAGTATTGTGCAAAAGTGTGAATCACTTACGTTACTAATTTATGTTATTTTATAGACAATAATAACTAATAATACAATACAGATGTAATTTTATAGACTAGATTTTTATTTAATATTTAAATTATCTGTGGAACCGTAGGCCATTACATGATAAGTAATAGACAGTAATTATATATTTACAGTAATTTGAATTATGGTTAAATAGCAGTAATTCCAATAGCTTTTGCGTTTGTACTGATGTGTTCCTGTGTACAGGTGAGTCAGGACGAGCAGGACGTGCGTGAGGAGCAGAGGAGGAAGAAGGAGGGGCTGTTCCAGCGCACAGGGCGATTCCGCCGCAGCACGTCCCCGCCCAGCCGCACGCTGTCACTGTCTCTGTCGCACAGCCGTCACCATGACTCCGCCCTGCCGTGCCTGGACCCCTCCCCCTCCGTCACACTCCTCTCTCTCTCCTCCCTGTCCGACTGCAACTCCACCAAATCCCTGCTGCCGTCCGACCCTGACGACCTGCTGCCGACCCCCAGCAGCTCCCTCCCCGCTGTCTCCCCCGCACCAGCTCTCAACCCCCTGCTGGACCTGCGGGCCGAAAGCTTCAAGCGGGAACCCAACCAATCCCTCACGCCTACGCACGTCTCTGCGGCAATGGCCCTGAACCGCGGGCACCGGCGCACGCCATCCGACGGGGCAATCCGACCGCGAGCACAGACGGTGGTGGGGCACCGGCGCACGCCCTCGGACGGTAGCATGCCCATCCCACCTCCTCCCACCACCACTGCTGCACCACATACAGGTGAGTCACAGGGGCCTGTTGAAGTCTTCGCACATTGGCAGTGCCATATAACTCTTCAGCCCCAGTATTATTACATTATAAAGGTTTATTCAATAATTACTGTGACATTAATATGTAATTATGGTGTGGTGTGGTTGGTATAGTGTAGTGGGTAACATCTCTGCCTTCTATGCTGTAGACCGGGGTTCAGTCCCCTGCCTGCGCAAGCACCCTACACTATACCAATAGGAGTCCATGGGCAAGACTTCTACCTACCTGTGTAAAGTGATAAAATTGTAAGTTGCTCCGGATAAAAGCGTCTGCCAAATGACGTAAATGTAATGTAAATGTACGTTATGTAGTTATGAAAGTGTGGAAATGAATCTGCTGACAGAAAACAGTTTAAAGAGGATATAATATGATACAGTCACAAGAATACAACAATCCAACCACACAGTCATATACAGACGTTTAAAAACACTACACCCCAGTCAGATTATCAGTTTTGTTGTGAAGTTAATACATGATCTACAGAGAACACACTTAAATATGGCATTTTTTCTGCTAATTTTAGTGCACAGTTTCTGTTTATTTGCTGAATTTAACATATTCAGAAAAAATGAAAAATATAAAATGTGCCATAACTTTTGCAGAGGCAACATTTTATGTTTTGTTTTTCCCAACATGTTAGATTATCAAATAAACCATAATTGTGCATTAAAATGTTCTCTGTAGAAGACGGGTTCTAATGTGATTAGAAAATCAATTAAACAATAACTTAGGAATAATTATTGTCTGCTGTACCATTTAAGGCAAGACACTATAGGTGAAAATGACCATTTTGGTCCTGTCAGTAATTTTTCTGATTTTTGAATAAATTGGATCTATAACGTCTTAAACTGCAGTCAGAAATAGCAAAACTCCACAGAGATATGTTTATATGTTATACTATTTCACTATTTTCTTTTATTTTATATAAAAATTAATAAAGGCTTAGCTCTGCCCAGACTTGGTCCAACCACATTGTGTCGTCTATCACTAAAAGCTTTACAGTTTAACCATAACGTTTCAAAATTCTCATGCAGATTTCTCATGTTCAGAACCAAAAATCTGAGCCTCTAGAGTGCAATTTCACATGCTCATTCCTAACCTGTTCTGAAGAAGATCACAGAAGGATTTGATAATATATTACTCATAGCTGGATGTAGGCTAGATTTTGTCCTACAAAATAGTCTAAAATATTTTATTAACATTTTATAATGTTAATATATTATAAAGACCATAATAATCTGGTCTGTAAGAATTGTTCTCTGGTGTTTGTCTTCATAATGAAATCAGCATTTTAATTCCAACATCATCCAAAGGATAGATCTTCAGTTTATAAAAATATGCAAATACATGCATATTTGATTAGATAATGTCTCATTCGCATACCTAAAGGTCACTTTTGGGAAAACTTGAAATGCAACAAATACTTGTAAGACTATCTGTAATCAACTGGCAGAGATTCTTTGTGATATCTGCTGTTTTTAAAATGCCCCTGTAGTGTCTCGCTTTAAATGTCATGACATAATTACAAAGTTGTGCAGTGAATACATTTACATTCACTTTACATTTGATTTACATTCTGTATTAACAGGTTTGAGTCTGCACTTATTTTGGTACTTATTGTTGATAAAAATGTGATACAAATATAAAGGATGGTTTTTCTTTTCACAAAATCAGGCAACGATTTCTTTTCATCAGTCATAAAATAGTCATAAAGTCATAAAATATCTCTTACAGACACAAACCTGGTATGGATTGAACTGGAATGTGCACTTCCCACAGAATTATCCACTTTTTTTAATGAGCTCTGAATGAGAAATATGTACCACTTCAGAAAAAGACTACCCTTATAAAGTGTTTATGAATGGTTTAAAATGTGTTTATTAATGATTATTAATTAGGCCATAGACACCTTAAAAAGCATGAATAAGCAGTTATAACACACAAATAAAAGGGGCAACAGTGATCTGTTATTTGCCTAATAGTGAACATGCATTCATTTATATACACACATAAAAATTATGGTTCTTCAAAGGTTCTTTAGTATAGAAAATGGTTCCATATAAAACCATGAACACTCAAAGTACCCTTTGCATGATTGAAGGGTTCTTTGTGTCATGAAAGCGTTCTTCACATTAATGGAGAATGTGCTGTAGATGGCTCTATATAGAACCTTTTTGAAAAAGGTTCTATATAGCACCAAAAAGGGTTCTTCTATTGTAACGGTGTCAGGCTTGTTACAATAGAACAACCCTTTTTGGTGCTATATAGAACCTTTTTCAAAAAAGATTCCATTCTCCATCAATCTGAAGAACCATTTCATGAAGAAAAGAACCCTTCAATCATGCAAAGGGTTCTTTGAGTGTTCATAGTTTTATATGGAACCATTTTCTATACTAAAGAACCTTTAAAAAACCAGCATTTTTAAGTGTGTAGTTAAACCGCAATTCGTGCTGGTTGCTTATCTTACTTTGTCTTCTCATGTTCCAGCTTGTGTTTTTCCCTTTAGATAATGTGTTATAACTGTTTACTAATGATTTTTAAGGTGTTTATGACCTAATTAATAACCATTAATTAACTAATTTTAAACCATTCATAAACTGCTTATAAGGGTAGTCTTATTCTAAAGCAGTACTGATTAATAATATCAAATTACAGCATGCTTCTGTTATCTCTGACAGTATCTGTGATGTTTAAGGGTAATCAGTTCAACAGGAGGCTCTAAAGTCTCTTATTTTGCTGTTGCTGCTGAGTAGCGTATAAAGCAGCACATCTTTGTTGTGTTTTCTCTCAGGTTCTCGTGACACTCTGGATATCCCTCGTCTGCCTGACCCATCTACGGTCTTCCCCCCAGCTCATCGGCGTAAACCACCCCCACCCATCACAGTTCCTGCCCAGGAGGGACACACCGGCACCCTGGAAAGGCCCAAGACCCTGGAGTTCGCCCCTCGTCCTCGGCCCACGCCGGTCAGGGCGCGGCCGGACCCCTGGAAGCTGTCGTCTCTGTCCCGGACACTCAGCTCGTCGCCGGGGAGCAGCTGCGACAGTCCCCTGGGCTCTGGGGACAGCGGGGTCAGCGCAGGGGTCAGCGCCACCCGCCAGACCTTACTGGACATGGACATGGAGGGGCAGAGCCAGGACAGCACCGTGCCTCTGTGTGGGCAGCACCCTCAACCCACGCTGTGCGGACAGCACTTCTCATAGAAACACAGGGAGACTGTTACCTGGGGTCAAAGCACTGACCAGTATACTTTACATGGCCAGCACTTTCTATAGAGCCTTTCAGCCGGGCTGTTATATTAACTTTGCGGTGCAGGCCTGTAGACGGGCCATTTTTGGTGGATCTCTAATAGATTTAGGGATCAAAATTAATCCGAAACTCAGAAAATAAGAATGAATCACCACTGACATTACACTTTAGCCAATCACTGTTTTCAGAAGGGGTCACTCATTCACAGCTTTTGCCATATAGTGAATTGAGTTGAGGATGACCAAAACATTTGACACCTCCACAAAATGACGGGTTATGTACAGTCGTATGCAAAAAGGGCATGGTTTTGTTGGTTTTCTAACAAGTTCCTCTACAGAGAACAGGCTTCTGCACATTGTAATGCATGGTTACTGTTGATTTGCTAAATTTAACATTATCAACATCATTATCTTTAACCGCTTAGTCCAGATAAGGTTGCGGTAACAGTCAGGAGAGCAGAGAATCACAGACGACCCAGTGCCCCGCAACTTCCTCCAGCTCAGTCTAGGGGACCCCGAGCCACTACCAGGCCAATTTATAAGATATAATCCCTCAGCGGGTCCCAGGAGTCTTGTCGTAGTAGGCCGTGCCTGGTAAACCCCCACCGGGTTGCGGCCAGGCGGCGTCCTAATCAGACGCCCGAACCACCTCAACTGGCGCCTCTCAATGTGGAGGAGTAGCGGCTCTACTCTGCGCATCTCCTGGATGACCGAGCTCCTCTCCCAGTCAAGTAGAGTGTAGCCCACCACCCTGCGAAGAAAGCTAATTTCCACCACTTGTTTTCCCACAACTCATGACCATAGGTGAGGGTCGGGATGTAGACCGACTGGTAAAGAGAGAGCTTTGCCTTATGGTTCAGCTCCCTCTTCTGGGACAGCGAGCACATTACTGCTGCCGCCTGTCCCAGCCTGCCGCCGATCTCATGATCCCTCTTCCCATCACTCATGACCAAGACCATGAGAAACTCCTCCACCTGGGGCAGGTGCTTTCCCCATACCTGGAGTGGGCATACCATCCCTTTCCGGGCTAGGACCATGGACATATTAGGGGAAATTTTTTTAAAAATGTAGCATGTGCGCAAGTTATGTTGCAAGTTTTTGTTTTATTTTTTCCCCAATACATTAAATAGAAATTGTGCACTACAATTTCCAGAAAAATGTCCTATTTTAGAGTGTTCTCTGTTGAGGATCTGTTAACCTATTTTCACTTGGAATATAAACAAAACATAAAATTTGACCAGAGGTGTTCAAACTTGCATACGACTGTAATTCACTATAATAATAATAGCAAACGAATCCATTAGTAGTAATCCAGAATCCAAAGTTTAAGATTACGCTCAATCCTATATTAGGCTTAATATTGTCCAGGAAGCTGGCCCGGAGTGTCTCTAGGGCTGTCCCCCAGCACAAGTGGACAGTCCTCCAGGAAGGAAGGTGCAGTTGTGGCAAAAATGACCTTGATTTATTTTTCATAGCCACTGCAGTGACTCATTGTCCCAGAGCAGAAGCACTTTTATGGGGGTCCATAAAAGTAAAAGGTGAGCTGGTTGAGCACTGGTCCAGCGTGTTGATTGCATCAGAGCATTAGAGGACAGTCTGCCTCCATTTCTCTATCTATCGCTAAATCTGTGAACCCCTCAGTCTCCCTATCTATCAGTACAAAGTCCAGATCCGTGATCTCCGTTCCCCTTTTGTGGTCTGTACAGACCCTATATGATGAGAGTAGATTAGTAACTGCTTGCGCCGTTCCCTCAATAAAACTGTCTTTTTTAAATAACCATGCAATGGTAAACAAAACCCTTTGCAGTTGCGTTCACTGTAATATATTCCTTTGACAAAAAAAAAAAAATAGATGTAAGTATAATATTTTTTATTTTTCTTTATTTTTTTGAAGAAGAAAAGACTGAACATCTCAAGGGCTCTCTGCAAGACCTAATCAGAAAGCAGGAGCTCTCTTAATGTGAAGTCCAGCTGACCCCAATGCCCGTGCTTTTATGCAGAGGCCTTCTTCGTCTCCGTGTCCTGATGTACAGTACATATTGCCTGTGTGTAAGCGTGTGAGAATGCCTGTGTGTTATTTTTTTCTGTATGGATGTGTCATAGGAGTTGCACAGCATGTCATAGACTGAAAAAAAAAAATGACCACACATTCCTGATCAGCATTTGTCCAGCTGTTTTTCCGGCCGAAAAGCTAAACTCTGGCCTTCTCTCTTCAGAAGCATCAAAACTACACAGGAGGTACTTACCGCCCTCTTTATAGGAAGAGGGGGAGGGACATTTACGGTCAAATGAGGGTTCTCCATCAATTTGCAATAAGATACAAAACATGTACTACCTGTTTTATATTATCATGTACCAAACAGCCATTTACGCACACTTCCTTACCTCTTCAGCCGAGACCCTGTATGCTCTTCCTTCGCCCACCCACTGATCCGAAAGAGAGGAACTGTAGAGATGTACAGGAGTGTCTATATTTTGCCATGCGTCACCGCCGCGCTCTGAAAGGACACTGTGGGCTGCGGTCGCAGGCAGAAAAAAAAAAACATAATGAAATCCTAACAATCCCATTTTAGAACAAGGAATTCTGGGACTTTCTCACTGAATTGAACAGAGCTGGAACGCACTTTTATGCTCAAAGGTCCGACCTGGTTTTTGACAGTATTTTTTCGACTGTCCGCCGGTGAGTGTGTGTGCGCGTGTATGTGTGTTTTTGCGTGGTCTTACCGTTATCATTTGTATGGGGTGAGCTCTGTGGAGGGGTGAGACTCAAACCCACCCCCATATTTCCTGTGTGAAAAAAAAAACACTAAGAGTATTTATTAAAATTATTGTTACGATTGAAATAATCATGAACTATTATTATCATTACTGTCTCTTCTTGCCAGGTCCTGTAACTACAAGCAAGCAACAGTCAAACCTCTGTTTACAGGTTATAATACAACATAGCAGCCATAACAGTGGTTTTATGAATGTTGGTGAGGTAGTTGTTATCCTCTGAGTCAGTACACACAACATGACCAAAAGTATGTGGACACTTGAAAATCACACAGAAGGCTTTAGACATCCTATTCAAAAACCACAGGCATTAATATGGACTTGCTCCCTCTTTTGTGGCTTCAACAGCCTCCACTCTTCTAGGAAGCTTTCCACAAGATTTTGGAGTGTCTGCGAAAACTTGTGCCCATTCAATCATAGGAGCAATTGTGTAGTCAAACACTGATGTTGGACACGAATGCCTGGCTCGCAGTCAACGTTCCGATTCATCCCAGTGGTGTTCAGTGGGGTCGAAGTCAGGGCTCTCTGCAGACCACTGAAGTTCCTCCACACCAAACCATGTCTTTAGGGAGCTTAATTTGTGCACAGGGGCACATTCATGCTGGAACAGGAAAGTGCCTTCCCTTATCCCATTATCCCTCCTCTACCAAACTTTACTGTTGGCACTATGCATTCTGCTCTGCTGGTATCTGCCAAACCTAGATTTGTGGGTTTGCCAGACTACCAGATTTATAATTCACCTCTCCAGAGAACATATTCCCAATGCAGTCCAGTGGCGTTGTGCTGACACCTGGTATTGTGCATAGTGAGCTTTTGTGTAGCTGTTCAGTCATGGAAACCCATTTCATGAAGTTCGCAATGCAGAGTTGTGCTGATGTTGCTTCCAGAGGCAGTTTGAAACTCTGTAGTGAGTAATGCAAGAGAGGAAAAGCAATTTTTACTCAGCAGCCCCATTCTGTGAGTTTGCTTTGTCTACTGTTTCGTGGCTGAGCTGTTGTTTCTCCTAGATGCATCCATTTCACAAAAATAGCACTTGCAGTTGACCAGGGCAGATCTAGCAGGGCAGAAATTTCACCAACTGGCAAAGGTAGCATCCTATGACAGTGCTACATTTAAAGTCACTGAGCTCTTCAGTACAACCTGTTCTACTGCCAGTGTTTGTCTATGGAGAGACTGCATGGCTGTGTGCTTGAATTTATACACCTGTTAGCAATGGGTGTAGCTGAAACACCTGAACTTAGTAATAAAGAGGGGTGTCCACATACTTTTGGTCATATAATGTAGCTTCTAAAGTACAGAAGAGTTCTCCAAGTCTCCAATTTTGAATGTGTTGTCTTGCGAGAGAGAGCACTTGCTGAGTGTCTGATGGAGTCAAATGTTTTTGGCATAAACCACAGAAAACCATGGTCCCAGCTTCAATTATGTTTTTAACATGCCCTTGTCAGCTTACACCCACTATTTCCTTTACTGTATTAGCTCAGATGGAGTTTGCTATATGAGTAAGGGAGCAAGTCAAGGTTTTGGGTTGAGGTTAAGGTTAGGGTCAATTAAGTTAGATTTAATAGATAATCAGTAGAATGTAAGATTCACAGTGTTACCCCTTAGTCTGCTAGCTAATTATTTTGCATGTTAAGGGCTACATCGCTAACAATAACAAAAAAAGACGGGACATGCACCACAATTCTCATTCTAAACCTGAAATTGAATGTTTATGTACATTTTTGTGCAGATGTTTGTAGACATATTCAGTTGAGCTCCATCACTCCAGAAAATCCAGTTGCACTGCTCCACAGCCCAAGGCTGGGGGGTTTTATACCCCTCTAGCTGACACTTGGCTCAGGCTAATCCAGAGTATTTCACTGTATCGGCAATGCTTGCACCTTAATATAGCAAAATTCCCTAATTAGAAGGGGTGTCTGGATACTTTAACCTATAGTGTATGTTATGCGTGGACGACATTGCAAGTTTTCTTAGCTAGCTAGTTGGCTCACTGAGGCTAGCCTAGCCAAGGGCAAATGCATTTCTTTTGAAAAATCCTCTCATTTCCCCTCCTCCCCTTGTCCTACGACAATGCTCTACATTTTGGGGCAGTGTGGGGAAGTCAGGGTTTGTTAAAAGCGCTATTAAAATGCAGGGCTATCCCTGCTAGAAACACCAGCATAGACCAGCATAGCTTGTCACCAGCAAACCAACATATCGCTGCTGTCAGATCAAAACCTTGCATCTCCAAAATGGTTTTACAGGAGAAGGAAAAAACATACTAAACTTTTAATGCAAGTCAATGGAACCAGACTTTTTTCCATATCATTTTGGGCTGTTTTTTTGGTCCATTCTTCATGAAATTTTCACACAGTGTAAAGGGTGGCAAATATTTTCAAATTATGCAAAAAACTAAAAACGACAAAATGGAGATACAAGGTTTTGTTCCGACAACAGTGATATGGGTTTTTTATGCTGTCATGCTGGTCAAGCAACCTGACTATGCTGGTGGTGACCAGCTAAACCAGCTCCAAACTAGCACCAGTCAAGCATAAACCAGCTTAGACTAGCATAAGTTCCATGCTGGTCTAAGCTGGTTTATGCT